ATGGGGTCTGTTATAAGCAAGTCCGTTATAGGCAAAAGTCTCTTATAAGTCACTAGTTTTGTAAGCACATGTATAACATTATGTAGTGCTCTTATAGGCAACAGCCTGTATAAAAATATTTAAAACTGCAAAAGTTTTTCAATTAATATTTTGTGGTAAAATGTTGCTGTTTTTACATACAAAGTATACATGTTTTATGTTTGTCAATGTGTTTGTAAATTGATTAGTGTTTGGATTGATTTAGTACGTAACAAGTGAACAAGTGTTAATCAGTGGACACATATAGATTCATTTGCCTTAAGACAGAAACCACTTGATTGTTACTGTATATTAAGGTCAAAAGTTAGACCAATTTTTTAAACCCGACCCGACCAGACCCGAACCCTTGGTGTATTTCAAACGGGAAGTCCGACCTGCCCGCCTCTTTTCGGGAAACCCGTGGTAACCCAAAAAAAACTTAAAATATTAAACTGCAAAATTGCGATAAATTTCACATTAAATTAACTTTTATTCATTTTACAATAAACAAACATGGTCAAATAATGTTTTAAGGTTTGCAGAAATCATAATTGGATCTAATATATAATAGTTTATCGGATTATGGGGGTCGAGTTGAGAGAAAATATAAATAATGTGAGAAAATAATGTTTGGGCTTTTTAAGGGTTTTGATTTATATATCGGGAAACCCTTTCCCGATCCGATCATTTATAGTCAAACCCGTTCCCGCCCGAAACCTTTAAGGGTCGGGTCGGACAAGGGTTACCAACTTCCTATTCTACTGTATATCCAATTATAGGGTATTTCAAAATTATAAAAAATCATAGGAAAGGCCATATTTTTGGCACCAAATATTGTGTTAAAAATATTTAGTCAAATTAAATGCTAAACATGCTAATATCAATGATTATTTGCTTTAAAACTGTATTTTATGTATTATTAATAAAAATGAATGTTTAGTCTCATATAGGCAAATTCCTTTATAGGCAACAAATTTTTCTGGCAAATACAAGTTGCTTTTAAAGGACCTTTACTGTACTTTAGTAAATATAACTTTATGAATCAAATTTACAAAGCATTAAAAGCGCCGACATTATAGACAACTCCTCCGTCGACCACCAGATTAGCGCCGGTTATGAATGAGGCATCACTTGAGGCCAGGAATGCCACGGCTTTTGCGATATCTAATGGTTGTCCCAATCGCTTAAGAGGTGCTATTTTCTTGCCCACTTCATAGATAAGTGCAGTCATGGGGTCCGGTGTATCAGTCGTATGTATAATACCCGGACTATTAGAAAACAAATGTTTTAGTATTACATTTTCATAATGCTACCATGCTAATAATAATGAATTACTTGATAGCATTGACACGAATGCCTTTGGCTCCCAATTCGAGGGCCAGTACTCTAGTAATCATATCTAAACCGGCTTTTGCGGGTCCGTAGGCCAGTGTTTGAGCCATCTATTAGTTAAAGTAAGTTTAAATATATTAATATATTAAATAAATAGCATTTTATTATTGAATAAATACCGGCGCTAAGGCCAAAAAACTCGAGATATCAATGATAGTGCCGTTAGTTTTCTCTAAATGTGGAACCGATTCGTGGATCAGTTCGACGACTGCTCTCAAGTCTATGGCGAAGA